CCCAAACCCAAACCCCAAACCCAAACCCAAACCCAAACCCAAACCCAAACCCAAACCCAAACCCAAACCCAAACCCAAAACCCAAACCCCAAACCCAAACCCAACCCCAAACCCAACCCCAAACCCATTGTGAAATTTTTGTCCTATCGATGCAAGCCTTAAAGTTCTGAGGAGGCTCTAGGTATTGAGGAATCAGTTACTTCTATTAGATTTAGTGTAATCTTCTATGCATGTTGATAGTATTTACTTACAGCAATAGATTAAGTTGCCATATTCAGTTTATATCATATTCATTATCGATCATTATTTCAAGATCTCCAAAGTTGCTTACCATTTAAGATTAAGGACTTATGATAATAAAGTAGTCATATTCATTTATTTTAAATTAGGATAAAATACTATTAGTCTGGATCTACTATATCGGTATATGAAAGAGAAAATCATACTTGCAATTAATGAACTAAATTTTCTAAAAATGTTAATTAGTAACTAATACTATAACAATAATGGAGTTAAATATTATTTTAGAATTGGGGTACCATCAAGAAGTATTCTATCTCCTTATTTATTGACATCCATACAGATTTATTCAAGGCAAAAACAAAGAATAATAAGTATTTGTCAAAAGTCGATAACTACTATTACTATAATGATGACTTAACAATAGTATGCAGTGAACATTAAAGGATTGGAATTAGTAGCAAAATAATTGAAATCAACCTGAAGAAATGTGCTATAATGAACCTACATTAAGGAAAAGGTTGATGAATGGATTTTCATTTTTGAGAAATTACATATGTCATGGAGATGAAATTGATAATAAAGGAACAATCTAATATTTAAGGAGAAAATTAAAGGGAATTACAAATAAACTAGAGAATATTAGAGAGCAGTTATTATTACCAATAAGAATGTGCAGCATACATAAAGAGAGGATGAATTTTTCACATCAAAATAAATGCATAAAAGCAATTTAATAAGTGAGGCTCTCAGGTTCATAAAATAATTATAAGCTAAAGAGGAAAAAAATATTTTAATAAAAGATTAATTGTATACAAAAAGAAGCAATTAAGCTTTTTAAACAAGTCTTCCTTATATAAATTATTTATTTATAGTAATTTCATTAATCCATAAGTCTTCAATCTAATGATAATTTCTATTTTTTTTTAATGTTTCAGAAGTTCCATCTCTACTAATAGCCTTATTAGAAGTTATGAACCATAAAATTTAGAGATCTCGCTATGCAGTAATATTTCTAATTCAGGTAATTCCTTAGGCAAAATGAACATCACAAATAACTTAGAAATACGGCAACAATCTCTTCATAATTATTTAGTAGATGGTTCATTTGAATTTTTTTAATCATATATGATATTTTATTTTTTAAGTTAATTAATGTTGTAATTTGAATTGCATATTTTAAATAAGTCTAATTCTATATTCTTCAAACCTGATTATCCAATTTTATTTATTTTTGATCCAATTCATTGGTCTAGTTTATAGATATTAATTCTTTATTCCAGTATCTTTCAAAAGGTTTAAAGTTTAAATCTAATATGTAAGTATTTAATTAATGGATGCACACTTCCTTACCTAATTTTTATTTTTTTCTAACATGTAATTCTGGTAATTTTTTATCATATTTTACGAATCATTAAATTAATTTAGTTAACGAATTTTATGAATTTTCCTTAATTATCTTTTATTCAAAAAAAGTTATTGCAAAATTTATTTTTGTTTAAATGCTAGACATTTATTTCAACTTCAAAGATAAAAATCAATCATTTCTAAATTCTATTTTATGACATTTATGATAAAAACGTATTATACTATCAGTTTTTATTTTATTTTATTTAATTAATATCAAATCTGAGGGATCAATAATTATCAATAACAGAGGTTTCGGTAGAATGAAATTTTCAAATATAAGTTATGACAAATTTGAGGGATTAAGTAAGGAGGGTGAATTTCAAATAAAAGTTAATAAAACTGTGTTTTAAATAATAGTAAAATTAAATTAAGTTAAATAATTGTTATCATTATAAATTTATAATAAGATAATATGTTAAAATTCTTAAATAACATTTTATTTATTTTGAGTAATACTAATTCTTAATAATTCTTATAATATAGATTTTAACATATCAATTCCAATTTTGTTTTTGATTTTCTAATTTTGATTGAATTTTTCTAGTGTAATTTAATATGAAAATAAAACAAGATATTTAAATGATTAAAATATTATGTCTAAATTTCTATTTTGTTTCAATTATATGTATTTGCAATGAAACTTCTTAATTAGATATCTAGTTTTGAGCAAATAATTGAAAATTTTATTCACTTTAATTATGATTTTATAATTCTAATTCATATCCAATTGTTCCTATAAATATGTTAAGAAGGTCAATGAAAATTAAATGAGTAGTATTTAATCTTTTTATTTGCATTGAAATTTTAGATTAATGAAAATAATCATAGAATCTTCTATCTTCTAGGAGATCATAAAATTAAGACAAACTGCTATAAGTTTCTTTTAAAACTAAATGCTAATCATCAATATGTTAAATCATAAAATCTTTTGTTTAAGTGAAATTTAAGTCAATTAGATTTCTAACTTGCTTTTACAATTCGAATTCAATTTAATTATATTATTAATCTAAATTTAATTAGAATAATTATGAATAAAATTGATCCATAATGAGAAGCTTAATATTAATTTAATCTCCAGAATACTTACATTAGATTAATTTGATCTACAATATGTGTTCAATAAGATTTCCATTCTTAAATAATTCTGTCTAAATTTATTCACTAATTGCTAATGAGTATATTAAATGTTTTTGATATAAACTGATAGAGTATATTTTTAATTCTAAATCTTTTGAATCATTCATATTTTGCTATAAAAAGATGTATTAATCCTCTGAATTTTCAATATATTGGATATCAATTATAATACCAGATAAAATTTATATATTAAAATTGATATCATCAATAAAAATAAAAGCTTAATTGTTGTCACCTTAAAGTTTTATTAAATTACCAACTCCGATTGTGTGTGCAATATTAATCTATTTTATTCCTAAATTATCACTAATCTTAGAGATCAGTTTACAAGGTTCATATTATTTTTCAGAACATTCAATTAATTCAACATTAAATAATTGAGAAACAAAAAGATAATATTACCATTTTATCCAAGTTACATAATATCTATCCAAAATATTTCTTTAAATTACTTCAATAACTTAATTATCCTACATAATTACTGTAAAAATGAAAATTTCTATTTATTTCTAATAATTATGTACTTTATAACATAATTTTAAAGCTTCATCATTACAATTTAAAATTTCCTGCTTAAATTGAATAGGACCCTTCAAATGAATGTTTGAATTATTTATAAGTGTCAAATTAGTAATTGGACCATAAAATATGTCAGCAATATTTAATTTTATAATTTAATTCTTTTGAATTTCAATAATAGGTGATTTTATTATAGAATATACCTTAAAGCATTTATTTTAGATTTAAATTCTTAATTCAAATTCATCCAATTCTTTTAATTTCATTGAGTAGCTTGATGATAAGGTATCTTAATGAAGTTATTCTGTCTCAAATTCAACTAGGATTTTATTGAAAAAAAAGTACATCCATACTTTATCAAAAGAAAAAAATAATCGATATTAATCAAATTTAAAAAAGGAATTGTCAGTTGCGATAATGTCATCTAAAAATACCTTTGACAAACTATATTAAAAAATGGCTATATAGAGCATATTATTTTTTACAATTAATAAAGCTAAGTTATCATCGTTTATTGTGTACTTATAAGGATAATAAAATTAATAGTCCTAAAATGTGTAATTGTAAATTTGATGTAGTTCATTCTCCTCAAAATAATACATTATTAAAGAATTTGTTTAATTTTGTATTGCAACAATTAAGTAATAGCCTTTTGGATGTATAAATTCATGGGTTGAAATAATTAATTATTCTTGAATTTCATAACATCTAAAAATTTCTAAACTTTAAATAGCTAAAATCTTCTCATATTGGATAAAAGTTATTTCCTCAAAGTCAAAATAAAATAGAATAAGTCCAGGCTAATAAAGGCTTTTTGATAAATAATTGCTTTTTGAATAAGACTAATAATTCATTTCTATAATAAGCGGTAAATCTGAATTGTTCACTTAAAGAAATATATATTAAGATATGTGCCTAAAGTTTGTAATTGCTTCATTCAAATCGATATTGAAATATTAAATTGAGGATTGTGAAGGGATAACTCCTCTCAAAACACTATTGTTTTTTCTGTTCACAAAATAATAGAATGGGCTATATTCAAGTACAATATATTAATTTAGGTTTATTGATAGTGTAAATTCATCTTGTTCGCAATCATAGATATAAAAAATTGCTTCATATTGAAAATATATGTAGTTTTTTATTAAGTCTCTTAAATCAAACTTATCTTGGAAATAAAATTTATAAAGTCTTGCTAAACAATTTTAATGAATGTTTTAATATTTCCTGATATTTACATTAATACTCCCATTGCTACTATTTAAATCGAAAGTACCATTATTAAAGTAATAAGAGTAATCTGATTTCCTTAATGTTTGATATTTATTTTAGCAATTATTTTGGAATTGAATCAACTCAAAGAATTGTGATATTGCTTTTTGATTTTCGTTTTAGAATAAGACTTTAAAACAAATGGGAGTATCACCTTTAGTGAATAATTATTTTTTCTAAATTATAAATATATACTTCTATTTAGGTTTTATAAAAGTATGTAGTGATTAATATTTATAAAATTATAACACTTTTTTGGTGGAGTCAAATTAACAAAATAAATTATTTATTTAAAAAAAATGCAATGAAGTGTTGCAAATTTGATATGATTAATTAATGTAAGCATTTATTAATACGTCTAAGTTAAATTAGTTTTGTAGGAAAACGAGATTTGAATCAAAGTGAATATTTTTCATTGGATATTGTTAATTAATTATTACTTCTGATGCTTTTCCAATTGAAATTACTGATGAATTAATTTTATCCAACTAATTTACTAAAAGCAATAGTTAACATTAAGATTATACTAATATCTTTTGAATTCGAATTGGATGTTCTATTAATAGTAAATTTATTTTTTTTGTTTCAACTTGATTCACAAAAAATTATAAATAAAAATTATCTTCTATCAGATAGATAGTAGAAATCATATTCTTACGTTCACAAGAAGTTACCTCGTCAATGAAAGAGAACCTGAATAGCTCAACATACTAATACTTCATTGAGGCATCCAATAAAGTATTAGCTTGATTATTTTAAATTAGTAAAACTTTCCATCTCGAGCATTGATAAAACACAATTAAATATTAGTAATCGTTCCATTTAATTTATTTTTTTTTGCATTTATCCTCTATTTAGTCTGAAACATCATACTCAAAACTTAAAATAACATTCCTTGAGAAATCCAACGAATATTATTTCAAAGTTGTCTAGCCTAGACAAAATAAACTCAAACGTCCGTCTTGCGTTGCAAATAATCCATCGCAGAGATCCTTAGCTAATATTTTTGTATCTATTCTAATCTATTCACTATTTTTAGTTGATTGCTCATACAAAATTAAATCAAATGCCATACAAGTGATATAATATTCAAGATTAACAAACAAGGAGCACATTAGCTTCTCTTATATTTTATTTTGATTCAAAGAGTTGATAATTCTAATTAAAATCGGTTCTTCTTAATATGGAATTTAGAATGACTTTTCTACAATTTGAGTATTGATGTGTTGGAGTTTTTAATAATCTTCTTCATTTCCTTCTAAAACGCAACACCTTGATGTGAATTAGTAGCAAGTTACATATTGGTGTATTTTTAATTCATTGCACTTTGAACTTGAATGGTTAATAAGGTACCCTAATATTATATAAACAATATTCATATTATATAAAACATATTCTTAGAATTGAAAATATATCCAAAAATTTAGTTATAAAACTAATTAAATTCAGGCAAGTTTCGAAAAATCCTATTACCCATATTTATAAATAATGTCATAGAAGAATATAAGGTAAAATAATTTAACAAAGTCAAAAATTGAGTTTATTGTTAAATTTATCTATAATAATAGGTATTAAGTGTTATTTTTATGTATTGGAAATTAATAGTGTTATTGATTATATTACTAAAATTGATAAATGATAGGTTAAACTTATAAGGAACACCTGATCTAAATTAAATAAATTTGATCATTTGCTGAATGATTTTCTGAAGAAATCTACAGTTTACATTTTCAAATCTATATTTGAATTACAATTAAATTTATTTGAAAAAATTACATCCATATTTACTCAAATAGGATGCTGGATTGAATTAATTTAAGTTTTCACTATAATTCTTTAAATTTCCAAAATTTGTAATAACACTTTTACAATTATAATTATTAATTTTGATATTCGATGTAATTTACTAATGCTAAATTGGAATAATTAAGCTAATGTAAAGTTCGGATAGAGGTAAAATTAATTTTAATTTAATTAATCGAGGTTTAATCAATTAAATTGGATATAAATATACCACCATCATGCTTAAACATCCGCTGAAATTAAATATATAAGGTAAATTATGAATTATAATTTAGCAGAAATCTTATATAATTACAACTCTAATAATAAATTTTGAGTTTTGATCATAGTTACTTTTTGGTTTATTTGAATCATGTACAGTGGTTTCGAATAAATAAAAAAAATTAGAAAAAAAATGTAAAATCGATATCGTTTTACAATGAATATAAATTAACTCATATTTTGAATATCTTGTTGAATTTAAATTCTTGGGCAAAAACTTAAAAATTCATTTCTTAAATTATGTAAATTGCTTAATAGCATTAAATTACTGATTCTATTGTGAATTATTGAAAAATTGTATTCATTTTTTGTTTTAATATTATTTTGTTTTAGTGGATTGCTTTCCTAGCACAAGCTTTTAAAATTTTAGGTTTTTTACTTATTGATATTTATAGCTGGCAAATTACATTCATTTGGCTACTAAAGTTTTTTCACAATTTAATCAGCAACTGACATCTGATAAGTAGAATAAAATGTTTTTGTACTTTTCTTATGATCTTTGACCTTTGGAAGCAAGATATATCTGATAGTGATAAGCACTTCAGAAAATAGACCTAAAAGTATTAAAAAAAAATTGCCAATATATCTTAAAAAAACAACTAGTTTTTGACCAATAACAGTACAATATCCAATAATGAGATGGGTAGAGACCAATATCTAAAAAATTATAATTCTATATTGATAAGCATATCATTAAAATATAATTTGGGTTTGTTGAAGTGCCGGTAACCAAGTCAAAAATCACAACTACTAAAGTCATTTTCTATTAAGATTTTGCTATGAATACAATTCAAAAAGGTTTTCGAATGTAATTAGCTAAAGGTTAACAGTTGTAAAAGGAATAAATCAATTCTTTTACATAGCTACTACGTCAACAACTTATTGGATTATCTTAGAGAAGTAGAAGTTAAGAAAAATTATGAACATATAACTACTATAAAATAGCTAAGAAGTTGAATAAAAAAATTGAAATTGATGTTTTTTAAGTAATTAATCTTATGAATCAACATTATCAATAATCACAAAATAAGATATCTTAAAATTTGGAATAACATTTGATCCTAAGAAAATAGATCCATCTAGTTTTAGGTTTTGATATCCAAATAAGTTTTAATTTGTAAAAAGGGGAATAGTCTTCCGTTTATCTTCTTGTTTCTCCACTTGAATTCTGTTTGTAGCCATATTCAATCAATAGACATTCTCATCATTAATAATTGTAATGATTATGATTTAGGTTTATTTAAATTAAATTGTATATGAATCAATAACAATCACCTTTCCTACAGGATTGTAAAAATTATTTTCATACTTTATCAATGATAAACTTATTTTTATTTGCCCTCTTTTCTCCTCTCTTTGAGCTTAACTTCCAGTCCTCTTTTAATCTCTTTTTCTTGATGAAGAATAAATTTTCTGAATTCTCTATGTTTTAGTTCCCAATAAACTATTCTCTAATTTTCCTCCTCTTTTTCTCTCGCAGTATCTTATTCTTCTTCCCATTTCTCCATAGTATATTATAGAATCCTGTCTTCTCTGTTTTTAAATAGTTTTTTCCTTCTAATTCCTATTTTCAATTCTTGCGTCGTTTACAGTGTAATAGCGTCACTTCAATAAAGTTTCCTTGTTCTCTCTACTCACGAATATTTAATTCTTCACTTTCAATCTAGCCCAAAGAATTCATAAACAGGTCGAAATTTCATCTGATCTTGTATATCTAGGTGTGGGTTTGGTTGTTAATTAATATTACTTAGCTCCATCTAGATTTAAGTAGTTTCTGTTTGAAAACTCTTAATAGAAATATATTTATCGAATAGCAAGGAACTATAGCAGATTGATAAAAGAAAATTACCTTTTAATTAATTTTCTCATCAAGCTTACAACTACAAACTTAAGTGGATTTAAAAATGAAAATGGTCTTAATCTTTTCTAGGAAAAACAAGTAATTGCAAGCAACTTAAGTGTTGTTTTTTCTGTTTATATTATTTCACCATTTTTATACATTAATAAACCTTCAATTTAATTTTAGATTTGGTACTTTTTAAAGTTGTGTCGAAATAAAATTATTTGTAAACATTTATCGATCCTATTGACAAAATGTGGCTTAATCATATTTCATGTGAAATGCAAGGAAATGCAATTAAAGAAAGCTTAATTTATATATGACATTACTTATTTCAGGAAATCAGGCCAAATGCTTTGTAATAATAAATATTTATCTTTTTGATATTATATTTCCAATTTTAAATTTGGATAGGCCATTTAATATATTGAAATCAGAACTTATCTAATAAACGAAGTAGTACTTATAATTGATTGAGTTAGTTTATAAAAAAATATCTACATTAACATCCATCATCTTTTTGATTATTCCTTCAATCTTATTAATGTTTTAAAGTGGGAACGCGTTTTTCATCATTTCCTTTTCCGTAATATTAGTCTATTTAAGAAAATTCTCCTAGTTTCCTAAATTTTGTTATTTTGGTGATTCTTATTCATAAATATCGAAATAGATTATTCTCAATATATGTTATGGAAATATTATGTCATTTTAATGTAAATATTTTCAATAATTCTATTCAAAAAACTTCAAGGGTGTTGAGTCTTAATGAATGGGAGACAAGTGATTTAAAAATACATTGCATTAATAAATTGATATGTTTTTTCTTTTTAAGAGTTAAATCGATTAAGTTAATCGCATTTTTGGGATTTTATTAATATAAAAAATATTTATATCTATTAATGATGATGATACTTCTCCTTATAATCTCTACAATTCAAAAAACTATGATTTATTAGTTTAATGCTAATTCTAACATTAGAGATGGTAATTTCATTATTTTTAAATTAGGATGGGAAGGTAGTTCTGATTTTATAACGTGTAGAAATGTTAAATATTTTGGGTTTTCTTCTCAAATTATTAGCAGGATCTTTCTAAATCTAGAGGCTCATTCTCATATTGTCATAAATATAGAATATATAAGGTATTTAATTATTCTTAGTTACAAAAGTATTAATTTCAATAACCCACCTTATTATAAAATAGATTATTTTGGAAAAAGTTAAGCTTAAGCTTAATCAGCTATTAGAAGGTTCTGTAGTAGTACACAAAGTGGATATTTCTATAATGTATCTAGTACTCATTAACATAACAGAAGAAATGTTTGGATCACTATTTATCTTTAAGGAGGGTTAATATCATTAAAATTAAGTACCATTTAATGTTAGTATGAATGTTCAGAATGCATAGAAAATTATCCTACATAATGCAAATATTGGAAATTGCATTAACATTCGTTTAATTAGAAATAGATCACATATTCTGATGGATGGACTTTTTAATCAGGTTCTTATATAA